CTTGTCGTAAGAGCCTTAGAAACGATAACTATATAAACGTGAAATTTCTTTTGTTTATATCTTGATCTCGAAAGTAGATCAAGATTTCATATTTGGAGCATAAGTAGTCGAGATTGAGTACTATCTATGGCCAAGAGCATGTGCAAAAATAACTGTCTCACAGGAAGCATTTTACTAGCGTGACGACTTTCACATAATTTTTTTTACCTGAAAAATACGGTATTGCATTTAATATCACTTATATCTATTGTATAAGTGTACCTCTACTATAAATTTCGTACAAGTCCCTTAGCTGTTGCTGGTTTATTACAACGGTTTCTACCAAAATCTGTTGTGATAAACCAGCAAAACTGAAGTTGAATACGCCGTAAATCCGAAAGCATAGTCTGATAGCCTGATATGAGCACTGATCTTTGGCATATGAGCGCCAAAATGTCCAGAAGTATCGAACAAGAAAACCGATCTTCAAAATCAGCATTTTTCATATTCTATCCCCTTTCGAGCTCATCCGTACAACTTATACAATAGATATAAGTGATATTAAATGCAATATCATATTTTTCAGGTTAAAAAAAGTTATGTGAAAGTCGTCGCGCTAGTAAAATGCTTCCTTGTTGTGCATATATATTCGCACATGTGCGACAGTTATTTTTGTACATAGTACTCAATCTCGACTACTTATGCTCCAAATATGAAATCTTGATCTACTTTCGAGATCAAGATATAAACAAAAGAAATTTCACGTTTATATAGTTATCGTTTCTAAGGCTCTTACGACAAGTTCCATAACTTTTGAAGGAGAGAAGTTCCGGTGAAAATGTTTTGGGAATCTTCCTAAGTATGTCGATGTCGCTGCTACCTACTGTGAAAGTATGAACAAAAAACTCAGACATTGATTGAGCAACTTAGGCCGTCCCTAACATGCAGTGGCTCTTAACTTGCCTCGATCTACTTAACATTAGATTATTGCACTATGTTGCGTTTCGAAATTAAAGTTTATATTAAATCTTGCTTGAAGGTTAAAACTTTTGATGATTTTTTGAATGTTCATGTTTCATTTGATAGTGAATGTTTGCCGATAACTTAATTTTCATGTTTTTAGTGGACATTGTAAAGCCCTGGCTGGACCTTATGCTGATGCTGCAAAACAATTGAAAGCAAGCGGTAGTGATACTAAATTAGCTAAAGTAGATGCAACAGCTGAAACAGAATTAGCTACAAAATATGGAATAAAAGGCTATCCAACATTGAAATATTTTTCTGACTCCACAACAATTGATTATAACGGTGGTCGAACAGCCGATGACATTCTAAACTGGTTAAAAAAGAAAACAGGACCAGCGGCAACCGAATTGAACACTTTGGAAGAATTTAAAACATTGAAAGAAGCAAACCAAGTTGTTGTTATTGGTGCATTTAAAGTATGAATGTTTTTAACAATAATATTACCTCTCTTATATCTACTAGTATTTGACGCATATTCTAGGAAACCGATGGTGATTCAGCGAGTGCGTTATTACAAGTTGCTAAAACTTTGGATGATATCCCATTTGCTTTTACATCTAATAATGATATATTAAAACACTTAGATATCAAAACTGATACCGTTGTTCTATTGAAAAAGGTAATTTTCTTGTAATTTTGACCTAAGAAAGCGTTCTAACTGTTTTTTTAATAGTTTGATGAAGGTCGAAATGATTTAACATCGGACATCAATGAAAATTCAATCCGTGAATTCGTTCAAGCAAATTACTTGCCAATAGTTGTGGAATTTAATGCTGAAGTACGTTTCTCATATCTGAAGTCTACCGATTATGTTTCTGATAAATACTCCTTTTCAACAGAAATGCGTCCATCCGATTGAGAGTTCTAATGGATTGCACACACATGTACTCTTTCTCTTTATCTATAGTATTATTAAGAGGTCCATCGAGACTTGAAGTGAATTCGTGGAACGTCTTCTGAAGGTTTAATTGTCTGATTGCTTCTCTCATTTTAGTCTGCACAAAAAATATTTGGCGGTGATATCAAAGTGCATGTTTTATTGTTTGTTGGACGCAAAAGTGATGATTTTAAGAGTATACATTCAGAATTTAAAGAAGCTGCTAAAAGTTTTCGTGGAAAGGTAGATCATCGTTCATATTCTCTCTTTTTCACGCTCTAATTCTTATCTTTTCAGACGCTATTCGTTTTAATTGATGCTGATGATGAAGAAAATGAACGCGTTCTTGAATTTTTTGGTTTAAAGTCAACAAATGTTCCAGCTGTTCGTTTAATTACTCTCAAAGATGAAATGGCTAAATTTAAACCAGACTCAGATGAAATAAAAACAACAATTATTGAAGAATTTGTGCAAAATTTCTTAGATGGTTCATTGAAACCACACTTATTAACACAAGATATACCTGATGATTGGGATCAATTACCTGTCAAAGTTCTAGTTGGAAAAAATTTTCATAAAATTGCCAAAGATCAAACTAAAACAGTTTTGGTCGAATTTTATGCACCATGGTGTAAGTAGAAAAGAATTTGTATTGAAATATCATTTTATCGATTTTTTTCTTGTGCAGGTGCTCATTGCAAACAGTTGGCACCGATCTATGATCAGCTCGGTGAAAAGTACAAAGATCAAGATGATGTTGTTGTGGCTAAAATTGATGCAACGGTAAACGAAGTTGAAGATATTAAAATTCAAAGTTTTCCAACATTAAAGTAAGTATAAAAATTCATTCAAGGAATATCGCCTTTATTTTTACATTGGAAAATTATGTCTCATCCTAAGTATATGTCTCATATAAGTAAAATTGAATAGTAAGAGAGAGCGAGTATCCATGTATTGTTAATACTAACGATTACTAAAAGCGGAATTCTTCCTCCATTTTATCAAAATAATGAGCGTATTCGTGTTACATTGTTGAAAATATTCTCAAGGACAATTAATTATTCTGCTTTTCTTAAGATTATTTCCCAAAGATTCGGATGATGTTATTGATTATCATGGAGAACGTACGTTAGAAGCATTGTCCAAATTTATTAACAGTAATGGCAATGAAGGTGGAAAAGTTACAGTAGAAACTGCTGAACATACCGAAGACGCTGATGAAGAAATAGAATCATCTCATGATGAAACTCAACATGAAGATTTATAAATGCCACTATTTGTTTTTCGATGTTATTGAAATGGTAATCCAAGTAATGTTTCTGTCTCGTGTTATTGAAAACAACGTTGAATAACGTTGTTTGTTGTAGGTAATAAAAAATGTATCGTTTGAGATTTTTTTTTCGTTTTTCTCTATATTTATTATTATTTGTTATTGCATTATCTCACTTTATACTCGTTTGTTGTTTGTTTTTTCTTTCTGTTATTATCTTTTTTAAAAAATTTTAACGCATATAACGAAAATGAAGCTGTTGTTTTTAGTCAAGGTTGACTTTGATAAAATAAAAGTCGGTTTTTCTATGTCATACAACAATAACACAGAATAAAAGAAACAAAAGTATAATAACAATACTAACAACGATTTACTTGTGTATTTAAAAAAACTGAAGTGGTCTGACATATTTGAGATGTTAAAAAAGCATATATCTTCAGTTTAAAGTCTAAAAATTATTTTAAACATAATGTAGTGATCATGGATCCAGTGACAAATAGTATCCAGCTTTTGGTCATAAAAAACATTCTACTTGCGATTATTTTTGATGTACCAACCACTTCAATGTAGTGGATTCAACGACAGTGGACGTACGATTATTCAGATACTACTTATTTTTAGAGTTCGATTATGTACTAATTAGTTGATGACAGAATTTCTATTTGCTTATTAAACTGTTCGAGAACGTCGAAGTTTTAATCAAAATTAGAAAAAGGTGGATTAGAATCTTACCACAAGGCTATGGATAATGAAACTATCAACTAATGATTTTGTTACAAATAGCGTCATTTTGTTTTTGATGGTTTTTTTCTTTGAAATTTATAATACGTCACAGAATCAAAAACACACACAAAAAAAAAGAGAAAGTAGCAGCATGAATGAATTACATATACATCACTTACTAAACAAAAACACATCTATATATGAACGAAAAGAAACGGGATGAAAAAAACAATTTTCCTCATAGAACAGGACAGGATGAGTAGTGGAAAACACATGACAGAAAGATGAAACATAGTATACTATAATAACAACAATACTATGGCGGTTGTTCGAATATTTTCTTATAGTTATTAGCATTAATTGATCTAATTTAATATTTGTACTGATCGAATGCGTTATTCACATCATGGACTTCTAGCTACATTATTCTATGATGTAGAAACATTTCAACTATCCTCAACAATCTATAAATGGTTATGTTTGCTGAAGAACAGAACGTTAGTATTGAGGATCAGCACGAGATTCAACAGCTAAATAGCTTCCCATCTTGTTTTAGTTATACTAGTAGATGAGATGTATGATTGTGTTCTCGAACTGGAAATAAAGCTCAGAATTAACAATAATTTGAAACAAAAAAATATATCTTCTTGTCTGTGCGCGCATAAAAAAAAGTTCATTAGGAGTAGGATTTCAAATAAAGGAGAAATATGGAAAATTATATAATACCGCACAAGCGTGTGTTTTTTCAATACAACAAATGCAAACATCTCTACACAAATATAAACACACACACTTACAAGAAACAGAAAGTCCATGAATTTTTTAACTTTTCTATATAAACAAGGAGAAGAACAGAAGAAAAAAAACGTAAAAAAATGAAAATGTTACTTTTTGCGGTTTTTAACATCCGGTCAGAGTTTCAACAAAGAGAATTGATTTTGCTGTATATTAACTATAACCAGATTCAAATTCGAGCATCATATCACGATTAAACGATGGAAGTGGAGCAGTGGATAGCTGTAACTAAAACAAAAATCAATTGGAAACGATTTAAACGAAATTATGATACATTTTCATCTACACTTGTTTTAGCCAGCCTAATACATACTTCTCTTCGTTTTCTATCTTCTTCACGTTTTCTTGCTACTTCTCGTACTCGTCGTTGTTCATCTTCAACTGTTGTTCCGGCATCAGGTGTTAATGATGCTGATGATAGAGAAGTTTGTAATGTTGGAGGTTGCGGTAGTGGTGGAGAAGGTGAAGCATCGGATAAATTTCTCGATGATTGTTTAGTAGACAATAGAGATGACGTGAGACCTTGAGATTGACCATTAATTCGCTCAGATTTATCTTGATCTCTACAATGACATATATTACGTTATGCATGAAACGTAAAGAATAAAATATCATCTTACTTTTTCAAAGCTGTAGTTGATGATGTTGTTGCTGGTGCAGTTTGTTTATCTTTTTCCACACGTTGTTTTGCTTCTTGTTCTTTGAATAGTTTTTCCTAAAATATTAGACACAACATTAGCTGTTTCATTCACTAAACTACAAAAGTGACGGATAATGCTCTATCATTCACATCAACTACTATTCTTTTTAAATGTTACAAAATCATACCCAATAATGGCTTGTCAAGAGACAAAAATTAAGTAACTACAACACAATACGTCACTACGTTTTGATTGATAATCAAAAAAAGCTTTTTAGTATAACCGTTCAGACTTCATTATGTTGGATCGGACAAGTTTTCTCAAAATATGAAGTCTTTACTATAACTTCAAGTTAAGAGTCGCTGCAGATCTCAGATCTTCGTTGCTCAAGCATTCACTGTAGTAATTCAAAACTTGATTTAACTACATTCCCACTCTTACTCTTTCTTCTTTCGCTTTTGCTTGTTTGGCAAATAAATCAAATTGATGCGTGAGGTTTTGTGATTGTACTTTGGGCTGTGTTGTTTTTGATGTCGTTGTTTGTTGCATTCGTTGAAGAAAACCTTGATCTTTCCATAAATGTAATTTTGATGAACTTGTATCCTAAGACAAAAAAAACAAATTGTTTTGTTGCAAAGCGACAAAGATCTCGACAAACCCTTGGTAATGTATCATCATTCATTCTCTTTTCATCTGGTGAAATATTATTTTGTTGATTATGTATCGATTCATTAGATAAATCATTTTCAAGGGAAAAATGAGGACGCTGATCCGATGATTCAATAAGACCATTTGATAATGGAAGATGAGCATCTATATCAGGAATAGTAGCTAAAAATTGGATTAAAAAAACATATAACATATTTTGAAACAGTTTTAACAGATTAGCATTTATGTGAATATATCAATGAGGTACTATTGGATTTATAAAAATCCTGATAAGTACGTACTTGCTGAATTTACTGAATCATGAGCAATTGTCGTGGTATAGTCTGAAAGAAGAGGATGGGGAATTGTAGTATACATGTTTTATTAAAAAAATTGAATATTTGTACATACTTTTGCCACTACTACTACCATTAACAACATTTTCATCATCCTTCACTTCAGTTCGCATCGGCGATGGAACACGTTCATCAGACACTTTTGTAGCAATCTGAACAAAAAGGTCATATTTACGTTAGACTATAAATAACAACTCATAAGAATATCTCTCTATCTGTCTCTTTTCTATAATAACGATTTGTTTTAGATATGGATCTTTCTTACAGAACAAATCATAATAGGATTAACAAAGGCGTAATTAAGGAATCGAAAAAATGATTATTTTTTCACTAAAAACATATTCTATAGATAATTAATTATTCAAAAAACGTTCACTTCTAATCTGCACATATTGAATAAAATCAATAAGCATAAAGAGAGTGAAATTTATGTAATAACATAAATAACCATTTAAAATATAAAGAATTAACGAGTTATTTTCCAGTATTACCTGTCCACCCATTGTTTTTGTGGCTGTATTATTATTATTATTATTAGCTGTAGTAACCGATACATTGGTTTGTTTCGATTCTTCGATGTCTAAACATTCATGAGAAAATACAAACATCTTGTCGTTTTTTACCATTATATAGATATAGATACACAAACACTATTTTTTCTGATTTAAAGGACCTCAAAAAAAGGACTGATGGTTTTATTTTGATCACTGTGGTGCTTGACTTTCCTTCTCCTTTCGGTATGTAATTAATCCATTTTCTCTTGTTACAATTTTATTTTTGATTATTTTTGTTTTAAAATCGATATATATATATATATGTACTCGCCTAGTGTAAAAAAAATAACGAACAAAAAGAAAAATGCTTACAACAAAAGAAAACAACAATACTGCATTTGGCTACAGGTGATGTGGCAAGCGAGTAGATAGCAAAAAAAAAGAAAAAAAAAGAACACAACAACAAAATACATAGATTGATACTTCTGTACATAAAAAAAGCCAAAACATCTTTTTTGTTATCAAAAGAAGACAATATGTCATACGACATTCTTATATATAATATAAGACGACATGTGTTTGTCGTGAATAGAATGATGACAACGACTAACTAGTCATTTATCGTTAATACAAAATGAAAAGAAAACGAAGACATGTCACTGTATGCTGAAAAAAAAGAAAAAAACACACACTCACACACGCACACACACACACGCTAATTTACAGTTAAAAAGAGAGAGATTGCAACAAATATGTTAGTTATCAATTTATTTACAATGATATAAAAAAGCAGCAACCAGAACTTAAATTCTCGAATATAATGGTAAAAAATAGGTGTTGATCCAGCTAACCTATAAAAATGTATTGACAAGAATACAAAAAAATTTGGAAACAGTTGTGTAAAAAAAAATGTTTTCTTTCTTCACTTTCACAATGGATTGCCATCATCATTTAGTTCAATATTTCTCATCATTCACGCCATTATAATCCATCATTATAAAAGTACTCGTGAATTCACAGAAAAAACAAATTGCAAACAAAATTATCAAAAATAAATAAATATATATATAGATATATATGGATAGATAGATAGATAGATATATGTATATATATATATATTATTATTCTAATACTTACATTAGTGAGGGGGAGAGCATAGAGAAGGGTCTGTTAGAGAAGGAAAAAAACGTGTTTGTGTATCCAGTATTTTTTTGTTTGAGATTCAAAACGAGAGAGAAAAAACATAAAAAATATGTAAATAAAAAGTCTTTTTTTTTTGCTCTTCTAACCTGACTCACTGTCAGTATCATCACCATTACGTGATGAATCTGAGCCGGAATCTGATGCTGAACTATCACTTAATCGTCCACCAGATACTTGTGGTGCTGTTCCCATGCCACCACCTACACCAGCAGACGTTAATGTGGTACCAGCATTGCCACCTGAATGTATTTGAGATGGATTCACTGCAACATTCGATGAGTCGTCTAAAACAAAAAACATACACACTTCTTAATAATACTGCATATAACTTCTAAGTGACTGTTACTCTTAATTAGCGTATAGTTTAAACTTTCAGGTTATACGTTAATCCTATCAGTGAATATTTCAATGAAATGAGACGATATTTTTACCTTTTTTCTTCATAGTATTTGTTGACGATTGCTTTGGTTTTGCTCCTAATTGTGTTTGAACAGTTTTTAATTTTTCTTCTAATTCTTCTTTACGTTGAGCATTTTGAACTTTAGCTAATGAACGTTTATCGGCTGTTGCTATAAAAATAAACAAAATAGAATTATCAAAACAAATTATTTAAAAAAAACAATTATACGAACATGGTTGCGCCGTTTTAGAAGGTTGACGTTCTAAATATAAATGAAGCAACAATTTTTTATACTATAATAACAAGAAATCGTTTCAAAAGACGAGCTTTTCTAAATCACTGAAATACTTTCACATATTCACATTGTTTGATAGATCTCCTACCATACTTTTTAAATACTTAAAATAGTTGTCGTGTTGTCTAATTGATCCTAGGGTAACTTTCTTTCTCATCTTAGTTTTTAGATTTATAGACTAGATTAGATCTGCTCTCCTTACCTGAGGGATATTGTTTTCGTGGTTTTTTCTTCAAAACTGAATTAACATAAGACTCTAGTTCTCTTAATGTTGACGGTTTCAATGTTTCAAAATCAATCTCGATCTCATCTGGATTTGAATCACGTAACGATGGTTCACGTTGTTGAATGATCTATCAAAAAACAACAACAATATGATTCATCTAGTCAAGAAACTAAAAAATGTATTCGATTGCTTTTCTTACCTGTACAACTCTGCCAAGTTTTTCACCTGGCAGTTTATTTATATCTAAACTTAATTGTCGTTTTTCATCATACGTCATCGGCTTAGCATTATTTTCTTCATCTTCGTTGTCCGCTATTGGATTTGGAGCGACGGTTGAATTTAAAGCAGCCAGTGCATTTGTATGTTGAATCATCTGCGCTTTTGTTTGTTTGCTAAAAAAAACGAGCAGTTAATACGTTGAATATTAGAGACAACGTTGTTTTACCGTCTTGCTCCTCCTTGTCCAGCACCTCCTCCTCTCGATCCTTTTCCTCTTGATGGTGGTGGTTGTAACATTGGCATAGTCGACTGACCGACCATCGGTTGCTGTTTTCCAGCAACCGCTGGAAACTGTGGAAATAATCCATTTGTTTGTGGTCCACCTGGAAGTGAATACGGTGTTGTAGGCGTTAATAAACCAGTGACTGAGGTCGATGGTGGTTGTGTTTGTTTACTGTTGACTTTTGTTCCTGTTGCGATAATTCCAGGCGGATTTCTTGTTGCCAAAGGCATTGTTGACGTGGCATAAGCAGCGGGATTTAATTGCATATTCGACGGTGTCGAGTGTAATTTTTCATTAATATCGTTATTCATTGCTCGCATGGTTGTTACAGATGATGAAATAGCATTGGCTGCTGCTGCTTGGTGACGAGAATGCGCAAATATTTTTGGTTTTGGTTTATTTGAACGTTTTACTTTACCATGACGTTTACGTTTCAATACTAGACGTTCTCTTTCACGTCCTAGCATTTGAATTATTGTTTCGCTTATAACTTTTACCTAAAAAACACAAAAAATTAAGCAAATTTAGCAATAAACATTATTCTCAAAACCTACCTGATCATGTAAATTTGATAATTGTCTAATTTTATCATCGTCACCACTTTCAAATTCTGTTGAACTTTGATCAGTGTCATCTGAACTCGACATAACTGACGATGAATTGGCCGGATGTTGTGATGAGTGACGATGACGAGAACGTTTTTTACTTAAATCAGTCGATTTTTTGGCTGCTGTTGTTGATGATGATTGTTGTGGACCAGTCATTCTTGATGATAAATCTGTAGATATCAGTTCATCTTTGATGATGCGTGGAGGTGGTTCATTTGGCATTTTTTCATATTTACTTTCAAATAATTGCTAAGATATAGAAATATACACGGGTAACAGTCATTGATGAACCATTAAAGAAACAAGTATACTATTTAAACACGATGGCTAATATATGCTTTGCTGTCTTATCTGTCTGATGTTGGGTTATCAAAAAGAATAAACATATCTTACTTGAACCTTTTTACACATTTGTACAACATCTGTATTTGGTCCATTGTATGTATAACAATTTGAAAATATTAATCGAACATCGTTAGCAAATTCATCGGGTGTAGCATATTCACGATTTTCCAATTTTTTCTATGAGGAAAAGTAATAATACACAATTTTATACATAGTCTTATATACAAGTAGCAAAGCAATGTAAAGATACAAAACTCTTGATAGATGATATAGAGTTCGTTGTACTTACTTTTACTGTTCCTAAATCCATTGGTTTTTTGATAATATCGTGATAATCATGTAGTGCAAGTTGTTCGACATCAACCGGTTTATAAAATGGCCAAACAAATGCCTAATATAAAATTTATACATTATTCTCTCTCCGAAACCAAATTTTTTTCTTCTTTTTTTTCACTGTGTTCATTCTTACCGAATGTTTTTTATGAAACAGATCTCTAATAATACTTGAACAATATTTCAATTGTTCGGTCATACGGTTTTTAGGACGCTTTGACGGACTCATCTAAAACAGACAGTAAAAAGCGTTCAATAGATATATTAAGTCAATATATATAGTGAAATTTTGTTTCTATACGTAGATTCAAATAACCATGATGATTCATAGCGGTAATGTACTGGAAATATACTACTCGACTAATATTCAACTAGAATGTTACTCATTATGCTCCATACGAACTGTATTCTGTACTATCAGAATAACAATGCTATTTACTCGCCTCATTTCCATCTGTTTTTAAATCATCTGCATATTTGACTCGTTTATGTCTACTATTATTTGTTAAATCTTGTCCCCGTCGAGTTTGATTTTCTCGTTGATCTGATATTTTTAATTGAGTATCAGTCACACTGTTGTCATTCGTCGCAAATGATGTCAAGGACGTATCTGTTACTTTTCGTTTAATCCCTTTACCACCAGCTACCGTTTGCTTTTGTTTTGAATTAGAAGGTTTTAACACCGACGACGGAGGATATGGCGTTTGAGATGGTGATACTGGTGTTAATGGTTCACTCTTATTTGCTATACCTGTAGTTCCTAAATTAGAGATGAGCAACGCATAATAAACTACAAATAGTTCTTCAAGCTATATCATACCTAAGGATATATTCAATTGTGGATGATGATCTGTCTTTGAAATTGTTAAGGTATTATTCGTATTATTACGTATAGTTGTTGTCGTTGTGTTTGGCAAAGACTGAGATAAGGAAACAGGTGGCAGAGAAAATTTGGTGGACGATGAGGGAGATAAGGGCGGTTGTGATTGATAACTATGATGATCGATATTGTTCAAAGATGTTGGAGACAATGGAGATAGAATTGCACTGTTATTGGTAGCAGAAGATGAACGATGACGATCGGATAGCCCAGTGGCATTTGAATGAGAATTTGCTCGCGTTATCATTGACGGAGTTGACGGAGAATGAACTAAAATAAATATAACATAATTGAGTAAATTATGGTAGTCATATCTTATGTAAAGTGCATCACATAATCAGTTGCATATAACTGATCGTCAGAAGTTCTAATCAGTCTAAGGTATAAAGAATGGTTTCCCCTAGTCTTTAATGCGTTACGGTAAAATACCTGGTGATGTCATGTGTTCACTGGGTGTTGATGGAGAAATAACTGATGTTGTTAAATGAGCTGGTGCCGTCTTTCCACTTGATTTTGATAAATGAGGTTGAATTTCAATTTCCTAAATGAAATTCAAAAACATAACACACACAGCTCTCTACAAAAAATCAAAGATTAACTTACCACTTCAGGCATTTCGGATAGCTTTTCATGAAATACCTTTTCTAAAGTTGCACCCATGATGACAACATCCTAACAAAAAAACAATTATCAATACTTCACACAAATAAAGTGAACAAACAGACACAAAATCAACTGTTTTTATACTGTTTTACAAGACTTCTTAGTAAACTGTTATATTGTATCGATTCCACTAAACGTGTTAGAGCAAGAATTTCAGACTAGTAAACTTTTAGATTTAAATCTTTCTAATCTAATGTTGGCTAACCAGGTGAAATTGAATTATGTAAAGCAAAGCAAAATAAGCGAAGATATTCTTTGTACCTACCTCTCCCGATTTATTGTATAAATAACAATCTGTAAACATCATATTCAAGTCTGTAATACATTCTTTGGCACTGTAGTAATAATTCGATTCTAAACGACGTTTGATTGTACCCAAATCCATTGGATATTTGACAATTTTGTGATAATCCTACAAAAATAGGTTCAGTAACAATAGTACAAACGAAAAGTCATATATACTATGGAATTTCATTTTTTCTGACTTAATACTGGTATTTTAGAGAAACCACATAAAGGATAGATGAAATTTTTATGAGACTATGATCTCAGCAGTAGGAGAGACTGGAGCAGATATAATTCGCATGAATTATCTTTTAAAGAAGAACTAAGCGTAAAGACGAAATACAATGTACTATTTTGTGACCATGTAATGTTCTAATAAACAATATCGTTCTAATATAGGTTACTATGTTCGCCTGTTCATTCTCAACTGTGTGTGATATTTAGCTCACCGGTAAATGAAGTTTAGCTGCATTAACAGGTTTTTGAAATGGCCAAGAAAATTCATGTCTCCATAAGGTTTTGAATAATATTTTTGACATAAATTGTAATTGATTTGTTTGTCGACCGCGCTTTGATGCGGGAATATGTGGTAGTTTAATAGGATTTGTTTGCTAAAATATGAATGGAAAATGAAAATTATAGCGTAAAGACCAATATAAAAACTGTGTGTACCTTCATGATGCTATTAGATAATAAATAAATAAGTAAAAAAAAAGAAAGATAGAAAAAAAGAAGGAAAGAAGATTGTTGTTTACAAACAATGTCACAAAAATATGTTTAGACAAAGCAACAAGAAGATAAAGAAGAGAATTGTTGGTGATCTTCGTGTCACATTATAATAAAACAATACATATATCGGCCACATCTAAAATAAATAACAAAAATAATTTTAGACAGTGTGAAAACATCATGTTATTATATCTTGACATTGTTAGTCTAAGTGTAGACTTTTACTAGTTGCTTTCTCTTTCCGCTACAAAATGTAACAATAAACAAATGCATTAATGATTTCTGATTCTAGCAGACAAAAATCTTTCTCAGATCATGGCAAAACCTGTCTCTTTGAATTATGAAACTATATGTATGTAAATTCACTAAAAATCCGAATTTTCATGATCATTATGTTTATCAACTACAAGTATTTTGATTCTTTTTCACGATAATATAGCTTATTTTTCACGCAAAGGCTAGAATCTTGTTGTTTTACATACCACTATTTGTCCCAATAGTTATTTGAATTGCCAAATGAGTTCTTTCGTCATAAGGACAAAAATACAATGAACTTATCAAAATAAGCGCAACTGATGGTTTTAAAAAAGAGACTTCCTCTTTCGAGAGAATTATAATTGTAATTAAGATCTGAGGAGTTAAGATTTCAATGATCGAATTAGTAAGACATAGCTATCTTTTGTTTTTGACAGATGACATATAAATATGAAAACTTGACACCGTATGGTAACAAACAGCAAATAAAGTGAATATCATTCTAAATACCTCTGCTGCAACCGGTATTTTGTGAAAAGTAGCTGCCGATAATATACCAACAATCAATTGCAGAAAAGGAGCTAAAAAAAGCTAGTATAGAAATTTAAACATCCCAACATATCCAGTTCGGTCTAGTTATGCAAGTCTACAATTATTGTAGAAAAGTTTTTGATATTATTAAATTATGCTCACAGCAAATCAATTCTTGAGAAGGTATACGTATTATTAATTTTAAGATGACTAATACGAGTAACACTTTTAATATGAAAAATAACATTTATAGGCAAGTAGTGAATACGATTAAGATATTTCTATGAGGAAAACACAATAAAAGCAACTTTTTCGATTTATCACGATCAACAATGAAATTGATTTATTCTATAAAACTTCCAATACTTTTAGGACCGCACTTTTCTTACAGTCGTCGATTAAATACGAGAATTATTTTTCTACAGATTATCGTATTCGATTATCTCTGAATGACTAGAGCTTCTTCACATTGTTCTTATAAATTTTTTTTGGGTACTGAATGAATGTTGTCTAAACAATGACTGTATATTGTCTTCTAATCTTTATTTTATTTTGTTTTGACGGGCGATATTAGTCAGATGACATTGGCCAATCAAATCTCATAAAATAGACCTCACTAAAGACGTTTTTTGGAAAAGGAAGAATTATTATAATATATAGATGACTGTCTTGATTTCTGTCAGACATGATTCTTGCCAATCTGAAGTTGTCTTACACTGTAGACATATCAATGTGAAGAAAAAAATTAAGTTCATTTAGAGTTGTGAAAAAGCGCTTTTTCGTATTCAATACACTCGATAACTCAGCAGATTTTCTATTTTTGACAGGAGGTACGACCAAATGTTTAGAAAAAACTTTCAGACAAAAATGGCGAACAAAAAAATTTTCATAGAAAAATAATATTAGTTTCAAAATTTCTCTTTGTGCTTCCGAGAAGAGTCTCGGAATCGTCCCTGTCATGTACTCGATACGGGTGTTGAGCTAGAGTAGAAATGTTAATTTAAAGACGACAGTAATCAAATAAAACGTAAAAAATCCATCTGAATCTAATATAATGCGACATTCGGTTTTGGGCTAACTTTAGCTTCTAATTTTATCCCTAAACAATGACAATGATCCAAATTTCCTAGAAAAATGGACAGAAACATAATTTTTCTTAAAACAAGAATCTTGTCAGATTATACGTAGGATACTTGCTTTCTCCAAGTGCATAAACCCATCGAAATTAAGCACAGAAAAGAGAGTAGAAAAAAAAGATTTTTTTCTGTCGATCTTCTTTCCTCTTCCAATAAAACATAATTGAGGTTTTTTTCCTATGAAAATTTAAAGAAGGTTGTGTTGTGGACGGTATATATACGTGTCCTTGCTTTTTTTTCTTACAGTCTAGTTCATCTTTCTTCCTCTGGCTTCTTGCCAATTATAAACAAATAAAAAAACACAAATCGATGAATGAATGTATTTTTGAGCATAGCTGTTGGTTTTCTCTCATGTTAACTAGGAGACGAAGCGTAAATTAACTAATCATGCAGTTTGATCTCTAGAATATGGAGATTGCTTACAAATCATAATGATCGTTGATGGTTATAGCTGTCATAAGTATATGATATATGCATGTTGTACGACAAAATATTTTTTATTCACTGTCTTAAAGTTTCTGTTCCCAAGTACTTGAATACAAGAGATTTTGCTAGTGGAGCTTTCTACACGATTCATGTACTTCAAATGGTAACAATAAATTACAGAGTAACTCCCATAGTGATTCGAATCAGAGATGAACCAAGAAAGAGAATGCATATGAGAGCGATTGAGTTGTTAAGAACATTCATGAAAAATAGCAAAAGGCGAGATGAATTGTTTACTTTCTAATGTGTAGCACACTTGTGATATGATTAATTTGCTATAACGCTATATTAATAACTGTTTTTGAGGAGTTTTCATCCTGTTGGACACGTAGATGTTTAACAGTGAAATTATATGATACCTAGCGCTTGCTCATCCTATACTTTTGTTCTTTGGATAGATCAATTTCTCTGCTCTTGTATGTAAACCAGAAACGTGATACAAGACATCAAAATATACAATCAGAAGATGGTATTTAGTTGACCATCTCGACTATTTTTGGAAATGGATAAATTTTGGAACCAAATCACGGTTGAGAGAGATTGAAAGTTTATGAACAGGTTTAAAAACTAGTTCCAAACGGTCAATTTTGACTAACACCAAGCCGAAGCTACGATTCAAAGTCGTACGTCTAGATAGACGATGTATCAGCTATTTATAGAAAAAAATTTCAAGTTTCCATCATGTTTCGTTCCAAAGTTATAGTTCGAATTTTTGACAAAAATATCCATTTTGTCAATTGAATTTCTTGCTGTCTTTTGAAGTGTAGAATCTACTGATAAGTGCAGGTGAGATGCTATAGGTAAAGATAATATATCTCAAAGAAAGATTTTTTCTTTGCAAATTCTGTAAAGCTGCCTCTTTTACCGAGATAAAGTACATTTGTGCCCATGTGGAGAATTCTGAGATGCGCTGAAGCCATTTCGTTGGTGCACTCAGGAGGAATTGATTTTACAGCACGACTCTAGCTAACCAAATTGAGTTATAATGCATGAAAATCAGTCCTTTTCTCAAGAACCATGATAGCTATGGATTTCTAATTTTGTGTGATGATAGCTCTCACCAAATGCTGATCACTCAGCGAATTTAAGCCTTTTTTTTACAGGATGGTTCATAAGAAATAAGCATTTCATTTCTTTTCCGTAAAATATTAATAACTTATGATTCAAAAAAGATAAAAACTTTTTCTTTTCGGCAGAACGTACCCTTGACTCTCGTTTAACTATAGTAAACGTTTAAAGTATTAGCTTATAATGATTACTGAAAGATAGCTATTTTACCATCGAGTGCCATTTTTGCAGTCACCAGTTCTATCATAGATTCTGTGATTAATGTGCATCAGAATGATGTAAAAATACAATCACGAAAACCTACGGTAAGAGAAAATGTAGATGAAACTTGGTCAGAAAGATTGCACACACCTCGCCTCCCAACTATTTCACTTATATTGTGCCTTTTTGTATTGTTTTTTTTCTAACCATTCCACTTTAATTCCTTTTTTGTTTCCGCATTTCCCTGTTCATGACAGCTTGACAGCATTAATACGTCTAGCTTGTCTTTCCATTTAAGAACCGTGATTCCATTTGCTTTCTTATCTCTCAACGTTTTAATTTAGTTGCTGTAATAGCTTTCGGAACACCTATTAGAACGTAATGTTCCACAAAGATCAGCCAAATTACTTTTCAAATATATTGCCAGATCATAACTTGTATAAAAATAATCTGTTATAAAAACTCTTCCTTTGTTCAATAACCCGTTTCCCAATTTCGCTACCACAGATCCATCGTCTCATCTACAATAACAGTTTCACCTGACATGCACAGACTTTTTACATTTTTCGTAACTAAATTGATTAATGCCTGTATTTTATACGTTCGATTCGTACCATCACGAGGAATTGAATTATCTGTAAAAAGTGTATAACGCATCGTATGATTGTGCAAAAGAGAATGATAGTAAATCGGATATTTTTTCCAATGACATTCAATCATCAGAAAATGAACCAAGCCAGTTTAACATAATAATACCAAGAAATACCTCAACATTAGTGTACTTCCATCTTTTCATTCTACTCGTTCGATTAATAGTACTTTTATTCAATAATTCTTGAGAATAGCCATTCGTTTATGTCACCATTAACTCTAGATAAACGAAGAAAAAACATCAATTGATTACACCTTGTTGTGAAACCAACCCTTTTTTCCAGTAAATAGAATTCTTTATAAATTTTGTATGCTGCACGACCTATAGGATCACTTTTATCGGTATCTGTAGTTGAATTATTAGAAGTAATATTCTCTAGTTCGTCAGAGTTTCACTCTCTTTCCGAAGAATCGCCTAATATTATAACTGATATACATCTGCATGGGTAGCATGTTGTTCATGGATTAGTTTTTGTAAAAATATCCATTAGAGATTGACTTGTACTATTGCACATATTCCAAAGATCAATACGGTACTCTGGTGATCTTCCGGCATGATTTAGCTGTGCTCGTCGTTGCAATAACATATTATAGCTACAAATTCATTTACAAAATTCAAAAACACATATCAATGTATGTTCGTTCGAAATAATCGATTATATTATGGACCTTGATAACCGTTACCAAAGTCGGAGGATTTTCTATAAACTGGAAATCACCGGCCGTTTTCTAGTTTATAGAAAATCAATCGAATTTCTATAACACTAGAATACCCGGAAATTTTCATGACCTAGAACGTCTAAAGCGATTATATTATTACTGTGCTAAACATCAAAGATGAATCTTAAAAAATAATATACAATCTTGTAGAAAATTAAATTGTCTATCGTTTGGTATAGTAAGGAATTTTTTTTTCTTAAACGATAGTATTGTATGCAGTTTGTTTTATTAGGGATAAAAATCCAGAAACGGTCAAAATGACCGCTACGGGCGTTCTAGTGATAAATAATTTCCAAGAATCTGGAAATTCGAATCTGATTTTCTATAAACTTGAAAATCCTCGGCCATTTTCTAGAAAGTGGAAATTCGCTCAGGAATTTATAGACCAAATACTTATTTATCTTTTTGTTTTGCAATCAGTATAGGTATAAGAGCGTCACATAAAGACACTCATATTACACTTAAATCAACTTTGACGGTTTCTACTTTAGATCACAATTCTGCCTATGCTAGCAAGAGTTTTGATTTAGGCAGAGACAGTGGTGGCGCGAAGTTTTGGTAGGAACGTCCGAAAATCGGAGACGTTCACCAGAAATTTCTCAAAAGCATGAGCGGGGTCAATCCCCATACAACCTGGTCGCGCCACCACTCGGTGCAGACCCGCCAAGGAATTTCGAGTTTATAGAAAATCAAAAAGAAATTTCTACTTTCTTGAAAATTATTTATGGAAATTCAACGAGGATTTTCTGGTTGGTTGGAAATTCGATTTTCTGTAAACTGCAAATTCCTCGGGGAATTCCCATAAGTATTATTCCTCGGGAAATTCCTATAGGTACTCTTTGCAATTCGCCTAGCATTTTCCATAAATAATTTCCAACCTTACAGTGTATGTGAATAATCATTATAATCTAAACGTAGTTTTTGTTTTGTTGCACCCATTATCTAGGATTCTTGTCATGTTGAAGGAGTAAAGATCGTCGAAAGCATGATTTATTGCTGTCAAAGTTAAACTGTTGAACATGCCGGTACACACGTGTTCAATACTGGCAAAATATCGCCGGTTACCACGCGGTATACCATGAGGTTACCGCTATGTAAGCACAAAAATAACCGCACGGTTACCGCGGTTACCATGCGGTATTTTCTTTAATCCGTGGTTATTTTTCTCATTATGAATTTGTAGGACGTGAGTTCGAAACTGTTTTCAAGTTATATTTTCTTTTTGGTCATTTATCTAGCGCTCAAAGCACAAAAAGGAAATTTATATATTATTAGCACCTGGAAGGAAATTTACTCGCGTCAACGTTCACACTTCGACGAGCCGTGAATATAAAAAAAGAAAGAAAAAAGATAATCTGAAATAGAAAATCGAAAGTTTTTCGAAATTTTTGTGTTTCTTATATACTTCTACGGCTGCAAAACAAAACGGGGAATGAGAAAAAATGGTTACCGCGCGGTAACCGCGCTCACTGGCGGTATTTTAAAAAAAGCACGATATGGGTATATTCCACAACTTTATTTTAAATATTCGGATGTTTCATTATTCTGGAAATTAAAATTTAAACATCCAGTTTCTGACACAAAATACTTGATTTTCGAAAATGAGTAAGTACGGACTTTTATGCTGCAAAACCAGATCGTAGATCAGGAACTCATTAATGTTTTCTGTAGATTTGGTTCTCCCGATTGCTCAGAGCATTTTAAAAGAGTGCCTCTGTCGAATCTAAACATTTTTTTCCGGCTTGTTCTGATTTTCAGTGAATTTTTTGCTAAATTGCCTAGAAGAACGAACGTGAAAAATTGTTTGAATAAAGTTTATATTATTAAAAATAATAACCCTAGTCGACTCCCATGGGACTCTTGTCACGGGAGTCAGGTGGGATTTTTAAGGAACTCGCTGCTCGGGACTCCCGTGGGACTTTGAGGACTTTCGAGTCTAGCGAAAGTCCTCAAAGTCGCACAGGAATCCTGATCGAGTCCCTTCATGTGACAGAAATCCCATGGGAGTTTTGTCGTGAGTCTTGACTAGGGAACGGTTTCTATTTTATCTATTGAAACGTATGATGTTGGATGTATAAAAATTTAACGGTTATAGAGATGTCAGTAAAAGATGTTAGTTGAAAGGGAAAGTGAATCATACTTATTCGAAATATGGAAGAACTGTTCATCAACGAAAGTCGTAATTATAAGGACACTAAACAATAGTGTAAAGCTAATTTTGTATACTTAAATAATTTTCATTGGTTAGATATTACGCACAGAGTATTTTTTGGATTATACCGGAAGAGAAATGCAAAAGAACAAAACCAATCACAACAGAAAATAAAAAAGTATAATCATATATAATCATAAGGAAATAAACAATTAGAGAAACAAAGAAAGCAAAGAAAACAATAGTCATTTTGCCATGCATTGAGATCCATTTTTAATATGGACTTTAATATCAGAGGAGACAAGTAGACTTGTCACTGTAATTCACTATAAAAAACTGAAACCCACTGTAATTTCTATCGCGACTTTAAAATGTTCACTGTATATCTAATATAACTGTAAATGTGAATGTGTAGTGAATTCTGATTGAACTACAAATTCTAACTGTGTCGCGTTAATTCTACAACGGAAAAACTCACTATGACAAAAAAAATCTCTAACAAAAATACTGATTGTAAGACCTAATCAGAGCATCCTCGTTAGATCCAAATACTTTGAATGTCAACCATCTAAAGATCAATCACTCACGCCAGATGCGCTAATCTTACGGAGATTTTTTTGTTAATTCAAATATTAAACACCGTTCGCTTATTGATCGTCAAATTAAGTCCAGCAAGATGATTTAGAATTGTATTACTAATCTGGTCATTTATCCGCTTATTATTCCACTTTGGATCTTTGGTATTTTTTTAGATCAGATGGATGAATCGTTATCTAGGTCATTTGATTTCGAAGATTGTGAAAATCGGGTTCTTGTGAAGCTGTACGCAAGTGATCAGCTAGAACTCAAAGATATCGATTTTGAAATTGACTCAGATGTATTAGGCGTGTCAACGCCAAGTAAGTACAAACTTAATCAAGGGACTTTTATGAGACAATGCTTGAGACAATTGTTAGAGGACTCTTTTTTATGTCCACGAATAAGACGCTGTATTTTTCTGTGTTTAGCTAGTGAAAAATGGTATTTTCAACTATTCGGTCATATTTATCCGGATAAAACAGAAATTAATACGGATAAAAATAACACACAAACATCAATCTCGATCACTCTTTACAAACAACAACCGCGTGTCGTTTGGCATACTCTTCACAGTCTCAGTTCAATACCCATCACTCCACAACGTCATTCTGTTCATACGGGCATTTCTTCTGACCGTCATTATGATACATCTTCAACAGAAACAGCCACAACAACAGTAACAAATTCCACTTTTCTATTAAACGATCACAATTCAGAACAACTAGATGCAACCACTCATTTTCACGAATTACAATTTAAAAAAATGGAATCCGAAATATCTGGAGAAACAGATGCAACAATAACCACAAACTTTCATATTAAAAAAGTTGAAATTTTATCAGTACGTTTTACCGAAACAAATTTTATTGTAAATTTTCAATCCTGGTAAGATAATTTGTGTTACTTAGACAAGAACTATTTTGTATTTCGATTCTTCCAGTGATGAACAGTTTCTTCAATTTCATTCGTCTACTACAAATTTTCTAAATCCACAAACTAAATTTAAATTACTCGTTCGTGTGAAAGAACGTATTATACCCGAACAGTGTACATGGAAATTGACATTGACATCGATTGAAATTAAATTAGTAAAAGAAAATTTAGGAAGATGGCAAAAACTAATAGCTTCAGAATACGATGAACAAACAACAAAATCTCAATTCCCCACATTTTTATCAACTCAACCATTTACAATGTCCACTCCACCTTCACTATCTTCATCCACAACAACAACAGTTACGCCGTCAAAAGGTTGTTTATACCCATGACAAGTAAATGGATTTTGTTAAAGTTTTATTTTTCTCCTTTTAGTATCCATTGCCTTACCTGCACCAGCACTACGGGCATCAACAACGGTAAGAAATACACTGTTGTGAACAGGTGCAGTTTATTCTGCATCTTGTTTTTTATGGACTAAGTTATGTCGATATTCTGTTGAGGTTGAATTAGTTTCTCTTAGAATTTTTTATAAATACATGTCTCTGCATTCTGAGCATTTTGGTGTTGTCAAAATCGGATGTAAAATAAACATTTTTTGTCTTTTAGAATGAATTCAAATCATTGTATAGTACTGGACGTGATACAAGTCTACGAACAACAGCGTCGGCTGAAGGCTATACAGGCATTTATAACCCAGCTAATTCATGTTTCATGAATGCTGCTATACAATGTTTAGCGAATACAAGAGAATTACGAGATTATTTTCAACGTATGTATTGAAAATTAACCAGTTTGGTATGAATAATTACTTAGTATAAATAAATGTTTAAGGATGTTATTATCCATTGGAAATAAATAAAACAAATCCTTTGGGTATGAAAGGTGCAATGGTCGAAGAATTTGGTGTGTTAATGGATAATCTATGGAGTGGAAAATATAATTATACAAGTGCAAATAAATTAAGAGTAGGTATATTATATTTTCAGATATTCATTCATTCATTCATTCTCTTCTGTTATAGAATCTAGTCGCACAACGTCATCAAGAATTTGTTAGTAATGGTCAACATGATGCCCAAGAATTACTCACAATTTTACTTGATGCTCTACACGAAGTATGTTCACGTAAAAGTCTACTTTCTTATTTCAAATGACGTTTCTTTTAGGATTTGAATCGTGTAAAAATTAAACCAAATGTTCCAGCTGTTGAAGATCAAGGGAGACCTGATTCTGTAAGAGAATTTGTCATAGTTTATCTTCGGTAATCGATTGAAAAATAAATTTTTGACTATTTTTTCGATTAGGTTATTGCCGATGAATATTGGCAAGGTTATTTAAGTCGTAATGATTCAATAATCGTACAGTTATTCACTGGACAATTTAAATCAAAAACCAAATGTCCACAATGTAACAAAGTAAGCGTGTAGCTGATAAGAATTTTTTCTAATTTATTGCTCTACATAATAGGAATCTGTTACATTCGATCCATTCACATCACTATCAGTACCATTACCAAAACGAACAGCAGTCGATACAATCGTCACATATAGAACAGAAGGAAAACAACCAATTAAAGTAAATTTTACAAAGACGTTCAAATCTGTGTAGAAATCAGTTTTTCTGTATTTGTTTACTTTTAGTATCGTATCCTCATGTCATACGATGGCTTAATTCATGAACTTAAAAGTATATTGTCATTAAAATGTGGTTTGCATCCAACTAAGGTGCGTTTTGTCGTTGTTTATACTATAGATTTTTTTATTATAGAGAAACTCTTAAACAAACTTAATCTTTCTCACTATTGTTTTTAGATGTGTGCCTATCGACTTCGGAATAATAATCGTCTAGTTGATTATTTGAAAGATGACGATCGTGTGTCGGTAAATAATTTTTCATGGAACACAAATGATATCATCTATATGTAAGTTCGAGAGAAAGAGTTAAGCATGCATCCATTCTAAACGGATAGTTATAGTTATCATCATTAAGAACCTCCAATTTTCAATCGAGTTTTGATATAAGAAAAACTCAGTTTGACTTTTCTCTATCTGCTAATGAAGTAGAAATCATTAAGATATCTAAAAGTGGCTTGGAATTGGTTAAGATTGTAAAAAAAAATAGAAAATTTGAGCGATAATGGTTCTAACTTTACTAATAGATAGAGGAAAGTCAATATCTTATATTAAAACTCGATTGAAATTGGAAGTTTTTAGTAATGATAATTGTAAGATTTTTGTTTTCTGCTAATCGTACGATATATTTTTCTAGTACTGAAGCATTAACAAGTGAAGAATGTAATAATGAAAAAATTGTTCGTTTAACATTTTATCCACGTGTATTTAAATCAAATGATTTCATATTACCGTGTGCATTTTGTCAAATGCAATTAAATCCACATATTAAACCAAAATGTTGTACAGGATGTTATGCAAAATTCTATTGTGATGAGTAAGTTTGTTTTTAATAAATTAACCCCTCATCCATTTCCCTTTTTCATCATATTGATCGCAAGAGAATTGATAAAATTTACAAAATTCTTCTCTTTCTTTCAGTATTTGTCAACGTTTGCATTCTGATCATCACACTTCTTGTAGTTTTCATCAATTGGATTGTTTCGATTATGTTGGTCAACCATTTATTGTTACTCTACCAAAATCAAAATTAACATATGAAAATGTGGTCGACGAAATTAATTTTTATTCAAAGTATGTTTGTATAAGTTTAATAAATCTTAGAATTGACAAATTATCTACTATTTTAGATATTATCTTGATATTACTGTACAAAATGGAAATGGAAATTTTGAGCAAAATAACAGTGATCTGGAAATTGATGACGACGAGGAAGATGTTGAAAAGTAAGATTCCTTTATTCTTTAAAAGAATTGATTATTAAGAGTTGCTCAGTGATTCTTGTCTTACAGATTGATTCATGTTATTTTTGTTTTTTGGTCTAGCTTTAATGATATTGAAAATACCGATTGGCCTACATTAAAGTCAACGTTAACAAGTCAAGATTCATGGAGTATTTGTCGTATAGGCGATTATTTAGCTACACAACAACAATGTCAAAAGAAAAAACGTCGACATAATTATCAAACAAGTAATGGAAAAGAAAAAATTCAGAAAAAAACAAATCATAATTCGGGTAGAATGATGATAGATGAAATAGATGATGATGATGAAGGTTATGATATACTGGATGATATGCTCAATAAACCACTGTATCGTTTATCACCACAAAATACTAGTCTATCAATTAAACCCATTGTTGAAGCAGGTAACAATAAAACTAGTTTTAATTACCGAGTGGTCCAGAATAAATGATACCTTCAGTATTTTGTAAATAACTTAACCATTTCAAACCTAGTCGACCTGCATTTTTTTTCAATGAATTCCTCATTCAATTTACTACAAATCCATCGGTAAACGGCTTTTGTGGAATGAAAAAAGACGGAGTTGTATGGGAAATACAAATAGCGAAAAATTTGATGTCAAACATAAACTAATGAAGATATCTGGTCCTGTTTTTGGCATTAAACCTCGGTGTCAAAATGTCAGAGAGATGTTTTGCAATACACTAAAGTGTGCTCTTTCCGATACACTATAAAAAATATTTCTGCTACTTCCGGTACAAAAAATGAGATTTTGGGATAACACATCGTTAAATCGTTCTAATTTCATGTTCTCACATAAATAGAACAGAGACAAAAACATTCGCGACCGTCATGAGAAAGGTAGGCCGTAGTAGACACTACTAGCTTTCAAATAAAAGAAAATGTCTTAAAACACCATTTTTCCGCTGAATGGCAGACGTTTTGGCGAAACTGACAAAATCAAGGAACGAAAACTAGATTTTTTGGAAAAGTTCAAAAAAGTAATTGTCTCTATATCAGGCCAATTTTCACATAAAAATTTTATAGGACGTGTAATCGGTTTAGAATTTAACGCTCTTCAAGACGGTGGGTTTAGTTTTTTATATCGAATTATGAGATCGCAGAAAAATGCAAAAAAATGAATTTTGTGCTTGAGAATTGTCAAATTTTTTCGCTTTTTGTATTTCGTTCGTAACTCCGTCTTTTTTTATTGCACAAAAGCCATTTACGAGTGGGTTTACAGTAAATTGCATGCAAAATTCATTGAAAATAACCGCAGGTTGAAGTAGCAAAGTTATTTACAAAATACTGTTGGTATCATTTATTCTGAGTCACCCGGTATATTAAAAGTCTTGCCTGTTTCTCGTCCTTCGTATGAATGAAATCAAAGATATTGGTTACACTTGACAATCTCATACAATGTTTTATTTATTTATTTATTTTATATTTTTGTTCTGAGGTGATAATGCTGATTCAATTTTACAAAGTCATTGTATATATACAATAGATTGGTATACTGATAACAGTCCTGACTCACCATTAAAAGTATTATCTTCAAAACATCTAGATGGAGTCAATAATCTTATTGAAGATCATAGTTTACAAGAAACAGTTAGTGGAGGTTTGTATGTTCAATTATTAATTGGATAGTTAATTTCATTCTTCTTATCAAGTTAGATAAAAGAATTGATAAACAAGCTGTTTGAAAATGCTTAACAAAATTGACGATATACAACTGAAAATTAGAAGACTAAATATGTTGAAAGTTTCTACTAATTCAAAAATACAGATTATAATTTTGATTTAGATCAAGATATAACATTACAACAATGTTTATCAATGTTTATTGAACCGGAAGTTTTGGGTGTAGATGATAAATGGTATTGTCCACATTGTAAAGAGTTTATACAAGCAATAAAACAAATGTCTGTTTGGAGACTACCACCAATATTAATTATACATTTAAAACGTTTCAAATATTATCATGGCACATTTGGTTATATGTCAGATACAAGAGCAAAAATAGACACAAATGTTAAATGTCCTGTTAGGTACTGTAACAAATTTTTTATATCCTCGTGGAAAAAAATAGTTGCACACAGTATTTTTAAGATATTTTCCTTACGAAAATTACTTTTACAAAAATGATCACATATTCTGATAGCGCTTGGAATTCTCTACAATTCTGTATACTTAAATCTGGTCTTACATTTATTTGCTGAAAAATACATTGAGTGCAATGACGGCTCCCTCATCGTCATATTCTCAGAAATTATAATGAGTGTGGCATCTCAATATTTTCTATTTTTCTCGTGTTTCTTTAGGACCCAAAGGTTAATGTTTTTTTAAAAAGATGCGCCGCGAAATGCTCTACAAAACTATACCTAACCTTTAATTTTAGAGCTTCAGTCAAGAAAACTACGCAGATTATACGAAAGACGAAAAAAATGAAAACTTTAAAAATCTGTTATTTTTTTTCCACCTGAACCTTTTGCTTTTGCTACTATTTCCGTAAAAAAGGGTTGCAAAAGTGAGAAGTCAGTTTTTTTTGTACTTCTGAATGTGCTCTTTCTCGTGGTCTGTAAAAAATCTTTTAGAACAGATGGTGTGGAAAAAACTAAAAAAGTAGCGAAAAAATGCATCTTTTTGGTACTTGTCAATTGGGGGTACCTTCGCTGTACTCAAATTATTTTTCAGCAAATAAATGCAAGACAAGATATAAATATACAGAATTGTAGAGAATTCCAAGCGCTATCAGAATACTTTTGTAAAAGTATGTTTTCGTAAGGAAAATATCTTAAAAATACTGTGTGCAATTATTTTTTTCCACGAGAATATATTCTTCTATTCAAATATTTTAGAATATTGTTTTCTTTTCATTATTGTCGTTGTTGTAGAGATTTGAATATGGCTCCCTATTGTTCGTCAACAGATATGAATGATCAAAATATCACAAGATCACGTTATGATCTATTTGCAATGGTAAATCATCGAGGAACAGCATGGTTTGGACATTATACAGCCTATGCAAGATTACTGGCATCAAATGATTCAGCCAAAACAGAAATAGGTAAACATAATTAATCACAAAGGAATTCTTTGTTTGACTACTACGGTTATCAAATATGAAATTAACTTTTTGCATGTTTTAAGGCTGGAGAAATTTTGATGATGAACAAGTATCAACATTACCTGAAAATAAAGATTTAGTTCGTTCTGATGCTTATGTACTATTTTATCGGCATCGTTATCAAACAGTCACCTATCCTCAATTTTTAGAACAACAACAAAATTCCGTAGTTATTGACTCTACTGCTCCACTTCAATCACATTTATCATTGAATCATAATGGTAAAAACCATTTTTTCGATGACCATGCGTCAACACAGAGGACAAAAGATGCTAGTATGACAGATATTGACGATTTAATCAAATGAATAATTTCATTTTTTTTCTTTTATTTCTCGACATGTCCCGGTTTTATCTTTTCTAGAACCTTAAACGTTAAAACGGTGCTGTTTGGCTTTTCTTTTCTCGAAAAGTACATTCCATTCGACTTGTTTTTTTTTATTTTTAACTTCTCTATTTCTCTGTTTCTCTGTCATTCTCGGAATTCACTGTTTAAAGTTTAATCAAGAAATGTCTATTGGTCCATATCTATATATAGATATATATATACGAAAGTCTAAACGTGATTTTTTTTCTATTTTTTTGCTGTCATTTTTGTGTTTGTGTATTTTCCTTCTGTTTTTTGTTTTACTTTTATTTCGTTTTTTTTGCATTTTCTATATACATACAAGAACAATAAAATAAAAAAATGAGTTCTAGATGAGAGTGATGTTATGCAATGTTAATATTTTAATTTTCAGAATGTTCTTGTGTTCTTTCATTAGATAACAAAATACAATCATGGGTATCTGTTGTTTTTAGGATGAAATAGACAACATCTATATAAGGATGGTGCGAAGTACAAGGAGAATGTCCTCCGATTTCGGAGTAAATCGAAAAATTTTAAAAATGAGAGTAAATATCTTATTTGTCTAAAAATACGTAAGCTTTGACACACAAAACGTTTTAGTTGCAAAAAACTTCATGTGCTAAAGTTTTTGCTATAGTTTCTGTAATAAAACTAAACATATTTTTCATTTTCCGAACTGTTTTCTATTTTAATTTGCACACACTTAACGATGATGACGTGCTGATTCATCGTCATAATCTAAGCAATTGATTGAAAACCTGAGCCTCAAACTTTAACTTTGAAAGTAAACTCAGCGGACAAAAACTCTAAAAATACTCTAAAAAATAACCTAATAAAGCCTTTCTTAATAATGCATGATTGTAGATCACACACATTTCTGATTAAAATGAGACGTCTCCCAGCTCTACACGACCTTTCTTTACAAAGTTATAGAATTTACAGTAAAAGCCCTAAAGGTTCATTGTCTTAGCTACAGAAATAAGAAGAAATTAATTTAGGACTTCTATGGTAAATTCTATAACTTTGCAAAGAAAGATCGTGTAGAGCTGGGAGATATCTCATTTTAATCAGAAATGTGTGCAATCTACAATCATGCATTATTAAGAAAGGCTTTGATTATTTTTTAGTTTCTGAAAACCTGGTTTTCCAGAAACCCGGTCTCTGGACGCCTAGCAGCATAAACCGATGTCATATTTAGATTTTCTAAAAACTGAGATTTGACATTATTTAAATATAATGTGAGCATAAAATCTTTCAAACCAAAGTGAAACCTTTGAATAGTCCTGGCACAGTTTACAAATGGATCTAACGGGTGGGCCAGAACTAATGACACACTTTTGTTCTCTTTCCTTCCGAGCACCGCTGAGGTTCGAAATTCTCATTGTAAACTCATTTGATAGAAAGTTTTCTGTTCTACAAAGTCCATCACCTTCTTTCATTACATATTCTTTCATTATTTCAAAAAAGTAGTGCAGAGTAGGGACAGATAAAACGTATAACTACGATTTCCTATCAGAATTTTGGTGGCTTTTCGTTTTTGTGTAACTTTTCGAGAAATAATGTGGTAATTGAGAGAGGAAGGTGGTATAAAAATGTTCAGCATTATTGAGGTTATAACTGACAATTATAACCTGTTCGTTCCGTCGCAGTTATTCTTCTTACCTGTCCTTACTCTGCACTATTTTTTTGAAATAATGAAAGAATATGTAATGAAAGAAGGTGATGGATTTTGTAGAGCAGAAAATTCTCTATCGAATGAGTTTAGAATGGGAAGGAACTTCGAACCTCGACTGTGTTCGGACGAAAAGAGAACAAAAGTGTGTCATTAGTTCTAGCCCACCCGTTATTTTATATGTTAAAAGATGAAATCATTTGTTTTACTTCGTTCTAATCGTCATAACAGCAGGAAATTGCTTTTTCAATAAACTAGCTTTGTAGAAAACCTATGGAAAAGCTTTGTTGTCTGAAAAGTATTTAAAAACTATTCACGTCAATGGAGCAATACATTTCCTTACATTTTTTTCTCTTATTTCGTTACCATTTAATTATTTAATAACAAAAAGTGCTTTTTGTAAAGTTTAAGTCCTTCCGTTACTAACTGTGATCGATCACTGCATGTTATCTCTAGGTCTTCGCACAAAATTACCTTGTATCCCTTCTACTAAGAGGCGCATTTACAATTACAAAGCGGCTAACTGGGATATGATAAGAAACGATCTCTCGCTCATTCCATAGGATACTATTTTGCGTAACTATAATACGTTTGATGAGAGAGTGGTAGCATTTGAGGAGATCATCAGCGAGCACATCAAGTTGCAGGTTTCCCATAAAACCGTTACGGTGAACATGAGAGATAAATTGTGGTTCAATGATTATTTACGTATGATGTCGAACAGATGCAAAAAGGTCTATAAACAATACCGAAATTATGACTTAAACTGAATGTGCCCCAGATCGACCAAAACGGATATCCGTCACGGACCGTCTACTGGACGCAGGAATACGGGCCGTAACATCATTAAAATAGGGCCGTATACGGCCGTATTTTCACAGTATACGACCCCGTATTGCTGTGCCCAGAAACGGTACCGTTTACGGGCCGTATATTGTGAAAATACGGCCCTATTTTAATGATGTTACGGCCCGTATTCCTGCGTCCAGTAGACCGTCCGTATATGGACCATATCGTTCGACCTGGGTGTGCGATTGTGGCCAAACTGAAAGTTTTTCTCATCACTTTCTTAATTGTGATATATATAAACCCAAAGAAGGGAATTGTGCGGATCGTTACTGGCTGTTGGAGCTTTTAGTCTAGATCTTGTACTCCTGAGAATTCACAAGGATTTGGACTCGATGAAGTTGATTGCTAGTGCTGTTACAAAATACATTAAAGAAACAAATCATCACCTCCCAAACCAATCAATTATTTTTATTTCTATATAATCGAATTCCCTCAGATTTTGGCGCCACCGTTGCTCTACCTTCTCTCTTACTATCATTTATCCTTGCGTTTTCTTCACTTCTTCATTTCTCTTTTTCTTCTGTTGTCTTTTTTATGTCATTCATTCACTTGTTGATTATTTCTGTTCTTATTCTTCAGGAATCTAATTCATCATTCAACATTTTGTCGCCAAGTAAGAATGTTATAATGAGCAATAGGTTGGCTATGTTCTTACTTGTACTATTATTTTGAATAAAGTTTATATAAAAAACAAAAAAAAAAGTAACGGTAACTGTGACAAATTTTCTTTTCTAAAATAGGTTTTGTGAAGATCTTAAAAAGGCCAGTTTAATTCCCTGGAACTGAAGTAGCGATACGTGGTTTCTTTGAGTCACTATGACCTAACTTGTTCATATCAAAATAGCATTTATGCGAGATTTTAGTTTCTAGTGCTTCGAGTGTGATATCGGATTTACTATGAGTTTGAGGACTGGATACTTAGTGGGTTGATGTGACTTTAAAATCACACGAGACATACTTAACCGCTCATGCTGAATCTAATGGTAATGTTTATTTCTTGAATAGTCTGTGATGAAGAGATATTATTCATTCATGAAACAAACAGGACTATTTAAAAAATAGTATACACTGTATTATTCAGTCCATCAAAAACAACAAAACAATTAATACAATATAAAAAGAAAGAGTTTTATAAAATGAAACGTCAACAATCACTTGTGAAAACCATACAATATAAAAAACTGCGCAATAAGGTATTAAATTCTATACGTAGAGATAAATATCGTCATTTTTCCAAAATTAAGGCACAATTTTCAGATTCGAAGATTTTTTGGAAAGGTTTAAATAGATTTCGTAAAGGTTTTTTAGATTATCCGAGTAGGTTGGAGAATGGAAACGTTAACGTGTGTACAGATAAAGGTAAGGCAGAAATATTTTCTGAATTTTTCTCTAGTTGCTATAAGTCTTCTTCTGTTATTGCTACTACTAATCAACTAATTCCAACCCCAAGTAAACTTAATTCTTTTTCAGTAATGGACGTTAGTAATATGATAAAACAGTTAAAAAACAAGCGGTCAGTAGGATTAGATGGAATCCATGTAAGATTTTTAAAACTGTGTGACGATGTTGTAGCTACGCAACTTCACCATCTTTTTCAATTTTCCATTCAAGAAGGAATCTTTCCCAAAATATGGAAAACAGCTTTAATTAAGGCAATTCATAAAAAAGGAGCTCGTACACAGTGTACTAATGATCGTCCGATTTCATTATTATCGAACATTAGTAAAGTTTTTGAAATGTTAGTACATAATTCACTATTAAGTTATTTGAATAAAACGTGTTTTTTCTCGCATGTTCAGTTTGGCTTACGACCTAATTCATCTACTGTAGATGCTTTATTGCATGTCACTATAGAATTAGCGAAGCTTTTAGAAAGTAAACAGTTAGCGGTTGGTGTTGCTTTTGATTTTGCGAAGGCGTTCGATCGGGTAAATCATACTGTTTTGTTAGAGAAGATTGCTAGAACAGGTGTATGTGATTCTTTACTTGAATGGTTTAAATGTTATTTAACTAACCGGCAGCAAACAGTAGTCGTAAATAACCAAAAATCTAACGTTGTGCACGTAACTTTTGGAGTACCCCAAGGCAGTATCTTGGGGCCTCTTTTGTTCTTGGTTTTTATCAATGACCTTAGTCAGATGTTTTCACCTAATATCACCGCATCACTTTTCGCGGATGATGTGTTTAGTCTTATACCAGTTCAAAATTTTGAGAATTTCGCAGAAGTTCAAAACTTTCTTGATTTAATGTCAAACTGGTGCACGAAGAACGATATTGAATTAAACATAGATAAATGCTTTTACATGCCTTTTTCAAATTCTAAATTACTAGAAAAATATCCACCAATTCATCTTTCTGAGAAACAACTTTCAATTGATAAAAATATAAAATTATTAGGAGTATATCTCTCACCGGACCTTACGTGGAAACATCATTTA